CCAGTATGAGTAATCACCAGCTCTGTGCATTGAGTTTTGAAGGTTATGTAAAAATAATTAGTTAGCCCATCCCTCCAGGTCATCAGCGGGATCTGTGTAATCCGGGACTATATATCCCTGTTTGCTCTTCCTACAGTGTTCTTTCTGCATCAGGAAGCTCTTGCTATTATATTCACTTCAGGATTCAAGAGTGAGCCTTCACCAGCCAACAAGAAAGGGATGTTTGTCATATCCACAGCCTTTCATCATGGCCACACAGACCCACAGTTTAGTCACGTAAGTTCTGAGGAAACTGAGGATGAAGAAGAGATGACAAGAATTATTATTTCTTCCTAATCATATGAACTGTGATAATTTGGGTAGCCTGATGGTATAATAACGGTAATAAAAATTTGAGCCTCTCTACTGGGACCTCATGTTCTTAGTTGAGATGGTAGTCCTCAAATTCTCATCGGACTATCCCCAGTGTCTCTTCTGCATACTCCTATGACCAAAGAGAGCAGAAAATATGCCCAACTAAGTTGTTTCATAAGCAATCTAAAGTACTGTGACATGATGGTGAGGGTGATTCAGTAACTATACCTTTGAAGAAAGCTACTATGAGTGTGTGACTATTAAGGTCTTCCCTGGTTGGAAGATCTGAGTTCTATATTTTATGTATCTTACTTCATCTGAATAGTTCTTCAAAGTTCCAAAATTATAAGCTTCTGCCTAATTATTATTTTACAGAAAATGAAAGACAAAGACAGTGTTTCTGTGTAGCAAGTCGTAGGTTGTGAGGTAGAAAGGAGTGAAGTCTTGTGTAAATTACTTTGCTTGAGTAAAACACAAAATGATCTTTTCTGTGAATAGGTGTTTCATAATGCTTTAATTCAGAAAAAAAGGCCCATGTCTTCTTTCCCTTGTGGTTTCCAGATCTTTTATCATGGAATGTTTAGTTCTGCTGTGTGAATTGCTGGTAATATATTTGAGATGCATTTGGAACAGTCTCAAAACATTGAAACAACAATTCAACTCAGGCTTTTCTAGTTCCCTTGGTCCATATTTGGCTTCACTCTCTGAAGTGCTGGGTTTATAGGTCTACAAAGACTGTGTTCTATTTTCCTGGATATTTTTGCTGCTGTCAGCATCCTCTATCATTCTGAGGCTCAGCCAGTAAGTTTTCAATGAGGAAAGGCAGTCAGATCCCTATATCTTTTGTAGTTTGAAAACATGAGAGTCTAAAAAGGTAAGTGATGTAAAGACCTCTGAATTTCTGGTAAAACCATATTATTAGTAAAATGAAAAAATATATATACATGCATGAAATAACAATGAATGGGTACAGAAGCTATGAATGTGAAGTAGATTGGTGTGAGTTATATAGGGGGTTTGAAGAGTGAAATGGAAGGAAGTATATATATGTTATATTATCATCTTACTATAATTTGAAATATAAAAATAATCAAAAAAGTAAAACCAAATCAATACGCTCACGAATCAAAGAATGAAACGTTTGTTCTGAATTATTTTGTCTCTGCTATATATTTATGTGATTAGGACATGTTATTAATAATTCTGAGACACCTTAACTATCATATGATCAAGTTTTAGTAAGTATTTTTTCTATGTACTCTACTCCTTATATAAGTATATTTAGTACATTTATATAACTTAACACTTTTAACTTTCTTTTTTTGGTTTCATAGGGCCTAAAGAGTCATTAGCACAGATGTGAAATGAACAATACATATTTTAAACATAAAGTAGACCCTTTCTCCTCTCAAAACACTGACTCTCACATATTTAGTTTCCTTTACATTTTCATTCAGTTCAAGAATGTGACCTAGAAATTGATCCAAGATAAATTTTTCTGGTGTTTGTTTCTGTATCATGGACTTGTTGGGTCATATAATGGTATTTAATAGCTGCACTACTGGGTTATCCACAAATTGTACATATTCTCACCAGAAGATAAAAGAATGTACAGGCATAAAAAGAAATGGAAGGTCAATTTTGTGTTTTGTGTGAAGACCCACTTCAGAGTTTCACATAATTCTATGGTCCAATGCCCTGTGGAAATACTCCTCAGTAAATTCATATTTTCTATATTCATTGGATTTTAAATTTGGACAAATAAATACAATGCTAATTTTATCATTTTCTGAATGGAGATGGGTGGTTATCCTGTGGTTTTTGCATGAGCATTCGGGCTATGGAATAAATCAAAAATTTTTTCGCAATTCACTGATTCCGAACCAAGGCCACTGTCTTCCTTATTGGATACAAATAAAAATATATTCTACATGTGAGTGCATCTCATATTGCATTATCTTAGAAGAACTATAATTAGGTAGATTTTTGATGGCACATATTAGGAGGAAGTCGTTCATGGGAAAAGTGCAGAAATCATCATGCAAAGCAGATGATATGTATATGTGATAATATCATAAAGTCAATAGTTTATACAGTGATACAAAGAGGGGTAATAGGATCCAGGTGATATTGACTGTTTTTATAGGAACAATTAACTGATGAATATTGTACAGACATCTCTTGTTGAAAGTCTGACTGTTTCCACATTTTTTTTCAGTTACCATATTTTTAAAAGGTAACTAAATAGCTACTGGCATGAACAGAGGAAGATAGATGAGCTTTTGGATGATTGAAGTAATTTTGTGACAGAATTAACAAGCCTGCTCAGTTAGAAACCACTCGACTACTTAGAGATTAACAAGGGAAAATTCTTTTACTCAGTGTGCATGCCTGGATCATGGACAAAAGGGAGCAGGTAGGGTCAGAAATCCCTGTTTGCTTTTACAGTTTCATAGCCCCAAGTTATGATTTGAGTAATTAACCATGTTTTACAGAGACAGAAATTCCAAATGTGGTTGTTTGGACAAATGGGGAGATTTTCAATGCATACTGTTGTCATAGTTCTCTGGGGACTGTTTTGACCAGGTGGCTGTTGATCAAAGTTCTCTCTCCTGTCTGCCTGGCAGAACTGTGCTCTCCTGAAAAGACAACTGGGAGCACTCCTTCAGCTACTTTATGTGGTTTAATATTTCCTAAGCAATCTATAGGTCCTTTTAAATGTCAGTTTATTATTCTCGGTTTCTAGTTTTCCGATATAAATATGGCACTTCAAAACTAATGCATGTCTGTCCATGAGATAATGATTCAGCTAATACCTGTGTAACAAATATGGGAAGTTCACAGACAGACTTAGAACCACATTTCAGCGTAAACAAATATATTTTGGGGACAGCATGTGCTGTGTTGAATACTACTGAATGAGTAACAAGTATGTTTTAGGTTAATTTAAAGTGTCTCTTTGTACATATTTAAATAGATATTTATATAGAAATATCACTGGAAAAATCTGTCCCCTGGATTCCTTTCAGCCATCAAGATAGATGAACTAGACAATTAAACCATGTAGAGCCACTAAACTCAAAGTTCATTCATCATAATTCAAATTTCTGTAAAATTATATCTGACATACATAATATAAAAATGCTTATAATTTAGTAAAGATGACTTTCTTGTGAAAAGTGTTATTAGACAGTATTAGTTGAATATTTTGTAAATGCCAAAAAATATTCTAAGGCAGTTGTTTCTAACCCAGGTTTAAGTAAGTATAATCTTGTATTTTCCATGTACATATTCTGATTAAATTGGCCTGTGAAGTCCAAGATCTTGTGGTACTTTAAATAGCCATGGGAAAATACACTGTTAACTGTTTCAGAGACCCACTAGTCTACACAATGGTCTTTAATATCATTATCTCCTCTAACAGACCTAGTAGAGAAGCAAGTGGTATCTACTTTAGCCATTAGGGTATTGCCCATGTGTTTACATCACTAATATTTTCTGTATTTTAAACCTTTTACGTTTTAAGGAATTCTGTGTGCTCTGACCAAAGAGCACAGCGAAAAATTTCCTCTGTAGCTGAAATAAGAACACTGACATCTATGCACCAGGCCTGACTGACTCACATACATATCACTTTACTCTCTAAGGAGCGGGGGCTTAAATTAGGGCTCTGGATCAACCTGATTGTACTTCAGAAGATCAATGGCATTGCTTAAATATAGGAAAATCATGTTTTTTTTGTTTGTTTGTTTGTTCTTCGAGACAAAGTTTCTCTGTGTAGCTTTGCGCCTTTCCTGGAACTCGCTTTGGAGAGCAGGCTTACCTCAAACTCACAGAGATGTGCCTGCCTCTGCCTCCTGAGTGCTGGGATTAAAGGTGTGCGCCACCATAGGCTGGCTAGAAAATCATGTTTTTATACCAGATATTTTACTGAGGTTATGTGGAGATGTTCCACGCAAATTAGTTTTGTAGCATAAAATTTCAACTATATTTATTGACATTTTTTTCACATCACTGGACATCTTAACAGTTGTGGACAGAGATGCTCTGTGATAATGTGGATTTAACTAAGATATATTTACAAAAAATTTGAACTATACTAAGAGAAATAAGGGATACATGTACTAATAGTTTTTAAAAATCTAAGTTTTAAAGGAAGACTTGAATCTCAAATAAAAAAAAATGGAGAATATTTTTTTTAAGTCAAAGAAAAAAAAAGAAACCTATAGAAGATACTGGAACCTGAAAATATTTTTCTGGGTAGGAATTGTTAATTTTTTCTTAGAGACTAGGACTTTACACTGTCAGATATATTCTAAGAAAAATAAACCTGCTTCATGTTATTTCAATAAAAAGAAGTATGCTTCAGTGCTTCAAATTTTCATTTGATTTCATTGACAATTTTCCTAAAGTGAAGCTTCTGCAAAATATCCATTTTTGTCTTAAAGGATATTTTACTGTGTCTACAGGCCAGCTGTTTACAGTAATTCTGGCCTCACATTATCTAGATTACTGTATTCAATATGGTTCTCATAAGAGGTAATACATGAGCCAAGAACAAAATACTGTTTAGAGTATGGCATTTACCACAACTGAGGAATTATTAATGAGGTCACAATAGGCTTGAGAAAATAATCAATATTTGTACTTACTTGACTCAAATTGTAAAAAAGGTCTATATGCAAGCTGGTACCATTGTTAACAACATTTTTGATTTCCTCCAAAAGATGTTCAAGAAATAAAAACATGCGAAACTCAACATGTGTACCAGAATTCCATTTCATTCAACTCTCAGAAGATCCAGACATACAGACTGTTCTCTTAGGCCTTTACTTGTCTATGTATATCTTGGCCCTGTTTGGAAACCTGCTCATCATCCTGACAGTAAGCTCTGACTCCCATCTCCACACACCCATGTACTTCTTCCTCTCCAACCTGTCCATAGTTGATATTTGTTTTATCTCCACCACTGTTCCAAGGGTGATTGTGGACATCCAAAGTCACTGCCAAGTCATCTCCTATGTGGGCTGCCTGACACAGATGTCACTGTTCATAATTTTTGGATGTATGGATAACATGCTTCTGGCTGTGATGGCATATGACCGGTTTGTGGCCATCTGCCACCCTCTGTATTACCAGGTCATTATGAATCCCAGTCGCTGTGGTGCCTTACTTCTAGGGTCTTTTCTCTTTAGCCTTGCGGAATTACAGTTGCACTATGTGGCAATATTGAATTTTTCCAACTGTGAGGATTTTACTGAAATTTCCAACTTCTTCTGTGGCCCTTCTGAAGTCCTTAAACTTGCCCATTTTGATACTGTCACCAATGCCATAGTCAGATTCAGTATAGGCACTGTCTTTGGGTTTATTCCTATTTCAGGAATCATTTTTTCTTACTTTAAAATAGTTTCCTCCATCATAAGATCACCATCATCCAGTGGTAAGCACAAAACCTTCTCCACCTGTGGGTCTCATTTGTCCGTTGTTTGCCTGTTTTATGGAACAGGACTAGGAGTGTACTTCAGCTCCTCTCTGTCACATTCTCCTAGAAATAGTGCAGTGGCCTCAGTGATGTACTCTGTGGTCACTCCCATGTTGAATCCCTTCATCTACAGTCTGCGGAACAAGGACATGAAAACTGCCTTAAGGAAGATTCTTAGCAGAGCATTCTAGACTAGACATTCTTTATGAACTTGCATTTATATATGTAGTGTATATATATATAAATATATATATATATGTATATGTATATATGTATGCACACACACACTACATGTAAATCCCTGTTAATGATGCAGACATTATTACTAACTGATATTTCACAATATTGCATGATAAAGTAGTCATTTACGTTGTACATATGGTGGATGGGTACTTTTAGAAATGCACAAAATTGAAGTTGGGAGATGAAACTTTTCTAGGGGTAAATGGTGCACATTGTTGAACAATCCCTTCCAGTATGAATGTAAGCAACACATAAAGCTGCACATAAGCCAATTTAAAGTGGCTAGTCTGCTGAGATTGTGTTTTAGAAATGACAGATAACCAGTCTTGTCAACAGGCCATGAACAAGGAAGATATGAATAGACAGGCTAATATGGAAGGGGAAAGCTCAGTATGCTTCATCCTTAGATATCCTAGACCTGAAAGTTTCACTTGGATTTTTTCTCTCATTGATCCTGAGGACAGCTTGAGACAATGATCAATGGTGGATGTTACATACGAGACCCTCTACCTGCCCCTCTACATCTCAGAAATCAGGCCACACTCTTCTGTAGTTTGTCCTCTCTAATGACAACCCTGCTTTGAGTACTCAGGCTGGAGTGGGTTAATGGATAGGGGAGAGCAATCCAGTTCCCACTCCTTACAATGGCAAGATAAATTCATGATCCTGCTCGGTACCTGACTCTTCCATTTCCCCTTGCATGCTGGTTAGTTTTTCCCAAATAGAGTCAATGGGAAGAAGGAACATCCATTGAGGAAGCACTTCCATTAGAACTGTCTGTAAGCATGTCTGTGTGTCATTTTCTTGAGTGATGATCGATGTGGGAGGGCCCAGCCCACTTCGGACAGTGCTACCCTTGGCAGGTGGTTCTTGGAGGTATAAAAAAGGTACTTGAAAAAGAGCTTAGAAACAAGCCAGTAAGTAGCTTTCTTCCATGGCTTCCACTTCTGTTTGAGTTCCGACACAAACTTCCCTCAATGATGGACTGTGATTGGGATGTATACATCAAATAAACTCTTTCCTACCCAAGTTGCTTTTGGTCATGGCATTTATCACAGCAGTAGACAGCACTAGGACACATGTAGACTGTTTCTGACCAATCAAATGGCGAGGGACTTCCTACCCCCAGACAAACTATTCAAGTAATAAACATTTGTTCTGTAGGATGTTTCTGAGGGCCACTGAGGGGCCTTTCTTTCCCTTTTAGAACCCACATCATGCTGTACACGGCAGATAACTCTCCTCCTCTCCCACTTCAAGCATCTCTCCTAATGAAGGCAAGGCTGTCTCACCCTTCACAGCCCCACCGTTCTGCTTCTGGTGGGAGGTCCTTTGAACGCACTCCCACTTTAAGGTCTGATCGTGTCCCCTTCCCACTGTGGTCACAAGATGATCTCCTAATGGGGCAATCTTGTGTCAGCTCTCTTCTGGAACCTGCTGCCCTGACACTCTGGTCTCTGATTTATAACAGTGAAGGACTGGGAAGATATCATTTTTCAATCTATGCACTGGGATTTGTGGCTGTGTGGAATTGTCTCCAGCTGATTTCCTGTGAAGGAGTTTGCCTCCCTCCCGAATGAGACAGAGTGAGAGCCTAACCTGGGGATGCACTGATGGGGTTGTTTGTGGTCCACAGCTGTTAACTCTGACTACTTTGTTGGTAATGTGTGGTTACTCTATTTAGAGAGATAGCCTTGGATGATGAAATGTACTTAACGTGGAAAATGTATGAAATGAAATAAAATGGTGAATTAAACGGATGATTCAATGGCATTTGTTCTTAATGAATTGATCCTGGTCTTAGTGCACTAATTTCCTGATCAATAGAGATCACAAATGGTACCAGAGGAAATGTCCCCTATGAAAATTATATGTACACTTGAATGTAATACTATATAATAAACAGTATATATTTTAATTCACGCCTATATTTTGAATAACATCTGTGCAAGCTTTTCTGTGATAACCATGATCAGTGAAATAAATTAAAATCGGATTTTAATCTTCTCTTCCTCCTTTCCCTCATCATTTTCATCTCCAAATAGAGCTTGTTAACTGATTTGGAAATAAAATCATTACAAGTTTTTTCTTTTTCTTTTTTTTTTTTCGGAAATAGGGTTTCTCTGTGTAACAGTTCTGGCTGTCCCAGAACTCACTTTGTAGATGAGTCTGGGCTTGATCTCACAGAGATCTACTGGCTCTGTGAGGGCCTTTTAGATGTCAGTGGAGGCACTGCTGGGCAGAGAAGCTTGGAAGAGACCTTTTGAGGAGCAGAGGTCAGTCTCAACAGTGGGATTTCCTGAAGAGTCAAAGATCTCTCTGGCCTGATTCTTTTTTTTTTTTCTTCATTTTTCTCTATTTAGAAACTCTGCACCCACCCCACACACCATACAGAGATCCCCCCTCCTCCTCTCTATAACCCCCAGCTCTCTCTCTCAAGCCACTCCACATCCCCACATCCCCCAAATGGAGGTCTCCCACAGGGAGTCAGCAGAGCCCAGCACACTGAGTTCAGGCAGGCCCAAGCCCCTTCCCACTGCACCAAGGCTGTGCAAGGAGTCACACCTCAGGCACCTGATTCCCAGAAGCCTGTCCATAGACCAGGGACATATCTTGAGCCCCCTGCCTGGGTGCCCCCAAAACAGTTCGAGCCAAACAACCATCCTCCGTATCTTGAGCGCCCTGTCCAGTCCCATGGGGGCTCCACAGCCACCAGTCCACAGTTCATGGGCTTCCACCAGTGTGGCCGGTCATCTCCCCACGTCCTCTCATTATGATCTCGACATCCCCTGCCAGCAGAATCCTTCCTCTCTCCCATCAACTGGATTCCCGGAGCTCAGCCCGGTGCCCGGCCGTGGATCTCTGCGTCTGCATCCATCAGTCACTGGACAAAGGCTCTGTGATGACAGGTAGGTTATTTGCTAGGCCGGTCAGAGTACACTGGTCCAGGCACCCTCTGGACCACTGCCAGCAGACCAAGTTGGGTCAACCTTGTGGACTCCTCAGAGCCTCTCCAGCACCCCGCATCCTCCCACTCCCATGATGTCCCCATACACCATGGCATCTTCCTCCCTGCCCTCCCACTCTGTCCCTGCTCCAGTCCCACCCTCCCATTCCCCCATGTTCCCATCCCCCACTCCTCGCCCTCCGCACCCCCTCCCCCCAGTTTCCTCATGTAGATCTCATCCACCTCTTCTTTGCAGGGTCATCCATGTGTTCTGGCATCAATCTTGAGATTGAATCTTGGTCTTCAGATTGCCACACAGGAAAGAAATAGATTTCTGCAGACACAGAAGAGCACATTCAGTAGAATTTAACAACAACAACAAAAAGAACTACTAAAGAGAGCTCAAACTGAAATAAAATGGAAAATGAAAAATTTAGGACCTCATACCTAATGTTTTGACAACATCTCTTCTGCTTTCTCCATCAACAGCAGGAATCCTTAGAGAATGCAATATTTTGGACCAGTATGAGTAATCACCAGCTATGTGCATTGAGTTTTGAAGGTTATGTAAGAATAATTAGTTAGCCCGTCCCTCCAGGTCATCTGCGGGATCTGTGTAATCCGGGACTATATATCCCTGTTTCCTCTTCCTACAGTGTTCTTTCTGCACCAGGAAGCTCTTGCTATTATATTCACTTCAGGATTCAAGACTGAGCCTTCACCAGCCAACAAGCAAGGAAGGTTTGCCATATCCACAGCCTTTCATCATGGCCACACAGACCCACAGTTTAGTCACGTAAGTTCTGAGCGAATTGAGGATGAAGAAGAGATGACAAGAATTATTATTTCTTCCTAATCATATGAACTGTGATAATTTGGGTAGTCTGATGGTATAATAACGGTAATAAAAATTTGAGCCTCTCTACTGGGACCTCATGTTCTTAGTTGAGATGGTAGTCCTCAAATTCTCATCAGACTATCCCCAATGTCTCTTCTGCATACTCCTATGACCAAAGAGAGCAGAAAATATGCCCAACTAAGTTGTTTCATAAGCAATCTAAAGTACTGTGACATGATGGTGAGGGTGATTTAGTAACTATACCTTTGAAGAAAGCTACTATGAGTGTTTGACTATTAAGGTCTTCCCTGGTTGGAAGATCTGAGTTCTATATTTTATGTATCTTACTTCATCTGAATAGTTCTTCAAAGTTCCAAAATTATAAGCTTCTGCCTAATTATTATTTTACAGAAAATGAAAGACAAAGACAGTGTTTCTGTGTAGCAAGTCGTAGGTTGTGAGGTAGAAAGGAGTGAAGTCTTGTGTAAATTACTTTGCCTGAGTAAAACACAAAATGATCTTTTCTGTGAATAGCTGTTTCATAATGCTTTAATCTAGAAAAAAAGGACCATGTCTTCTTTCCCTTGTGGTTTCCAGATCTTTTATCATGGAATGTTTAGTTCTGCTGTGTGAATTGCAGGTAATATATTCGAGATGCATTTGGAACAGTCTCAAAACAGTGAAACAACAATTCAACTCAGGCTTTTCTAGTTCCCTTGGTCCATATTTGTCTTCACTCTCTGAAGTGCTGGGTTTATAGGTCTACAAAGACTGTGTTCTATTTTCCTGGATATTTTTGCTGCTGTCAGCATCCTCTATCATTCTGAGGCTCAGCCAGTAAGTTTTCAATGAGGAAAGGCAGTCCGATCCCTATATCATTTGTAGTTTGAAAAATGAGCGCTTAAAAAAGATATTTGCTATTAAGACCTCTGAATTACTTGTTAAAACCATATGATTAGTAAAATGAAAAAATATATATACATGCATGAAATAACAATGAATGGGTACAGAAGCTATGAATGTGAAGTAGATTGGTGTGAGTTATATAGGGGGTTTGAAGAGTGAAATGGAAGGAAGTATATATATGTTATATTATCATCTTACTATAATTTGAAATATAAAAATAATCAAAAAAGTAAAACCAAAACAATACAGTCATGAAT